CGGGAACTCTGGCTCGAAAGCTGCGGTAGTGCGATCCTTTCAAGAGTCCAAGTTATGGTGGGTTCCCACGGCCGGCTGACTCCCGGAATCCGTGCGGCCAATAGGAAACTAGGACGACCCCGAGCACACGCATCATGCACCTGTGCAGAATTGTAACTGTCAGGTAGTACAGAAAAGACAAAGCAACGTGACCCTCGGAAGCAGGTGCAGCGGAACAGGTCTTCAGGTGAGACTAAAATCTAAAATGGCTGGCTGATCTAGAAAAAACCGCCGCAAACCCTAAGCCCCAATACATTACCCAACGGGAGCACACCTGTGTCTATGTACAACCTCTTGCGTTTTCCTGTATTTACCGCACCACTGCTAAAGCCAAAACTCAGGTCCCAAAATCCCGACCAAAGCCTAGAACACCATACTATTGGGGCCTGAACAATTACCTTGCCTTTACTATTTGGGGGGTTCCTTATTAGAACTTTAGTATAACATACCGCGAAACCCCATTCTAATTATTAAAGGCCCCTACTCAGTAATCCATCAACCCGAAGCCTCTGAGACAACTTTCTGGGAAAAGCCCACACTGCAGGGTGCTGAACTCAGCTCCCAGCCACGCGAGCACCAAGACTCTTAAGCTCCTGTGCTGCAGCAACAGGACCCACAGTATCTTCGAGGATCTATAGAGGTTCCTTTAAGGGTTCTTTTAAGGGATCCTTTAAGGGATCTATAGGTCCCTTTAAGGGTTCCTGTAAGGGATCTATATCAATGTTAGCTTGAGTCTGAAATACATAACAACAACTAGAGATATCATATGATCACTGGAAGTTGAGCATAATAGTAACAAACATAGGAGTACCTGTTGGTAACATGGTCACAGAAATAGCAGCCGGAAACCAGCATTTACAGAACCAGAGTGGTCACAATCAGCAAAGGAAACGTGGTCATGAATAAACCTAATAGCAACGAGAAAAGCAGCAATCACAGAGCTGCGCCCCAACTCCCAGCTTCACGATCACTAAGATGAAGACACAACCACGACGAACAATATGGGCCACCAAAACACAGCGCTACAAACTATGCAACCCCCGGCCACTCACGCGCGAATGCACGCAACCACACACACACACACACACCCGCGCGCACACACACACACACACACTCACTCACTCACTCACTCACTCACTCACTCACTCACTCACTCACTCAGACCACACAGACACCCGAGATACACGTGCACACATATTCATTCGTTAACAGAAGACAAGGCCGCAGGTTTTTCAGCTGGGTCGAATAGACAAGCGGCAGAATCCAGAGAAACTTGGCCTTCGTGGCAAGGAATGCTGCGGGGCCCACCAGAAACTCTTGGCTGGGTAGCTATCCCATGCTAGAAGAACGACTGCGCTCCGTGGGTAGAAATGCCAAGGCGCTGTCGTGTAGTGTGCACAGGCTGCACCGTCCCCAAAAGCCCGAACTGCATCTGGATCTACGAGGGCTTCTTGCGAACTTCAAAACCTGAATGCTTGGGGCCTGATATAGGACTTCATACTTGCAATAGGGTTTGGGCTTGTAATTTGAGGGAGAACTGCGAACTATAACTAAGAATGGAGGCGCAACATGCCGCTCTGATTTTGCCTTGGCGCACTTGTCTATATTAGTTGGTCTTTGGTGGCAACATTAAAGAGTTTCCTTCTGAGGGTCTCGTCTCTCGACTACGTCCTGCCGATGGAATCAAACTCGTCTCGTAAGGGCTACTTCAAAGTTGATGCGTCACAGGCAAGACCCCAGAAGAGCCTATGCTTCCCACATCTTCCTGGGACAGCGCAAGTCGTCTTGAGCGACTCACCGTCTGGAACTCTTCGGATGCACTCCCTCGAATTCTCAGGCTTTGAAGCTTCAGGGTTAGGAAGTTTCAAGATACAAGGCTCTCAGGCTGTGCTCAAGGCATACTGAGTTGAAACCTACCGAAGGCATAAACAGGACTGTCACCGTGATGCCAAGCACTAAACAAAACCCCAGCTCAGACATCCGATAACTGATAGCTCTGAACCTTGACGAAATGCTTGTCCGATTGCTGGCGCAAAGGTCTTAAGCAAGGCACTGTGGCGCCCGCCGTATTGATCAAATGGGGTTTAAGTCTTGGGATCATTTGGGAGGTTCCGAAAATTAGGGGTACCCTATTTGGGGGTCCTTATAATAAGGATCCTACTATTTGGGGGTACTATATTAGGGTCCCCTATTTTCGGAAACCCCCATTTGGGGCAGTGGGACATGCGAGCACAACACTTGGCGGATTATATTCGGCCTGGTTCGTAGCGGAGCATAGGAACACGACTAATCCCTTCCCCCACGGTTTAGGGTTTAGGGTTTAGGATTACCAGTATTTAGGCTCCCGTGATTACTGCTGCTGGTCTCCCACAGTTCGGACTGCCCAGTCGCGGTATGCAGGTTTGCGACATAATTTTCGCGCAACGCACCTTACATCCCAATAAGCCAGGGAAATACAAGGTTAAACTTTCAGATTGCCAAAAATATAAGAACCCAAAAGGTTTAAAGGTTGGGTATTGGAGAACTAAGGAAAAGGGCTAGCTTACTGCTAGCTTCCTAAGCAACAGCTGGCACCTAAATCTGCCCGGGATGCCTCCGCGATCTTTCTGTACAGCGACGCAGCAACTAGGGTTCAGGGCTTAGGGTTTTAGGGTTTAGGGTCTAGGGTCTAGGGCCTAGGGTTTAGAAGGACTACATACCAACCGAAACACAGTGTTGCTTTATAATTTTTACTTTACCAACAGAAACACAAGGGTTTAGGGGTTATATCATTACCCAAAAAAACCTAAACTATCACTACCCAAACCCTTTTTTTGCATCAGGACTACCTAAACCCTAAACCATGACTACCTATAGCCTATATCCTTGTTGCATCAGGACTACCTAAAACCTAAACTTTTAAACCCTGTTTTGCACCAGGACTACCTGCTTCAACCGGCTTGCAACGTCGACTACCTAAACCCTAAACCCTGTTTTGCATCAGGACTACCTAAACCCCATAAACCCTAAACCCTAGAGTATCATTGGAGCTCCAGCTCGTCGAGGGAGGGCTTCGGGGGATCCTTCAGGTCTGTCTTCTCGCCGGACCTGCTCAGGCGCTTGAGAGCTTTCTGCTTTGGGCTTCAGGATTTTGGGGTTTAGGGTTTCGCGGTTTAGGGGCTTAGGGTTTAGGGGTTTAGGGGCTTTTTGGGGTTCACGCTCTCACAACTGGGGTTTAGGGCTTAGGGATTCTAGGGTTCAGTGCGATGTAGTCAAGCTCAGCAGAAACGAGGTGCAAGGCTCTGGGGGCTGAACTGAGACTGAGACGACGCAACATCTGTATCCGTAAAAAAACCGCACACTTGGCAACAACGTCCCCTTAAAGTCATAGAGCATATACTAGAATGCGAGTAGAATATACCCCACAACCCCTGCTAAAATTGCTTAGCCCGATTTTTTAAAAAAAAAACTAGGCCGCCAAAGACCAACAACAGTCCCAAGCATCCTTGGGCTATCTCTGCTTGCCTGGCTTTGTACATGGCTTCGCCGATGATCTTTTTCATGCTGTCATCACCTTGGAGCTTCACAAGGTGGAGGATCCCACAGTTCGGGACGCCTGACCACGGAAGATCCTGACGCCTGAACAGGATACCCCTGGCTTTGAGAATCCCCCGCCTTCGTCGTAGAGATCCTTCATCATGGACATGATGCTGTCCTGCGGAGGCCATCCCTACTGCTTGACTTCTCCTGGAAGGCTGCTCGAAACCTGACTCACCATGTTCGGAGGCTCTACATTCGTGTAACCCCAGCGAGACTACATTGAAGGAGCTCGCTTGAGGATTTAAGCACTTCGCCTGCAAAAGGGGCTCATGACTCAATACAGCGATGATGGGGTTCTTGTTTGCATGTTTGATACCAGCCACCATTCCTGCGAGTACGGTTCCTGCTTTTCGCTGTCAGACTTGCGGGGGTTGCCTTATAGGATCCTAAATATAGAATTTGGTTAGACCAAAAAAAGGAACTACAATGGAGACTATAGGTAAGATGACAAAGGCAGGCCCGACTGTCCTGGGGGTTCTCCGATTTCGAAGCCGTGTGCTTTCGCTTCCCTTTGGCGCAAAGGTCCACCCAGGAGTCGTAGCCATACTCGCCCTTCACCTTTCAAGTGGGGAGGATGGAAGCGCAAGTGCTTACTCCCCCAATAAGCCAGGGAAACGAAAGGCTAAACCTTCAGATTACTGCTAAGTCTTTAAGTTATAAGAACCCAAAAAGTGTGAAGGTTGGGTATTGGGGAACTAAGAGTACGAGTCGTTCTATGAGGAACCCTTTCTCGTAGCTACACAATGACAAATACCTTCCTGCCACCTGTTGAAGTCCCTTCACCTTTCAGCTCTGGATCTCTGTAATGGAGGCTTTAGAATCTTTTTTGTGGGTTTTGGTTTTCAACGATTGCGTCGGCGGCAAATCTCTTGGCTTTATGTACTTCCGAGTCCGAAAGGTCGGGTTGTGAAGTTAACCACATTACCATGCAAACTTTCGGATGCAGGGGTATGTATGTACATGGAGCCAAGATTTGGGGATTCCCAGGCTTGCCGGGGTTGTGCAGGACGCCATGCTCGGGGCTTGGATTCATTGCCGCACTCACCCTTCAAAAAAGCCGGTGCAAGGGTTGTGAAGACGCTTCTGCTTAAAGGATCATAGGACTTAGTAAGTAGGGTTATAATTAAGGTAACTATACTTATATTTACTTATAACCCCAATTAAGGGACTTATAACCTTACTTACTAAGTCCCATGATCCTCCAAGTGAGGTTTACCTGCCCGATCTCGCATGCGCAAGGCTCGGCCCTTCGGCGCGTAGCTGCGCTGTGATCCACTTTCAGATGCTGGGATCCGTGTAGCATGGATTATATTATATATTATATTACATTATATTATATTATATTATAATATGTCTCTATAGAGTCCAGGGGAAGAAGCCAGTCACCGGGACCTAGGATGTGGCGCCTTGCGGAGGGTGATGATGACGTGGTTCTTCTTCACTCTGAAGCTGGACTCCGCAGGCACGATGTCTTTCTCAAGGTTCGTCCGGACAAACCGGTGGTTCCTGGGAGTCTGATTTCTTTCGCGTGCGACGTGGTATGACACTGGCACAGCGGCTGCAATGTGTTTCGTAAACCTTTCTTTAGCAAGCTCACTCTGGGAATGGCCAGGATTTCCCGAAGCGGGTAACTAGGTACTCATGCAAATTTTTCTCCCCAGACACATGCACACACAAAGGCACATCCTGGAAATGGAAACGAGTGTAGACATGTAGGTCATGCCCTTAAGCTGTTACGCAGGATGCAACTCTCTACCTGAACCCACAGAAGTCAGCCTATACTTTAGGACATGAATGCCCTGGCCAACAGCACGAAGACGTAGGTGGGACAAACTTCATTCAAACAGTTCAGACGCGCATGTGTGCAGATCTGTTGATATTAATTAACCAGCATGAATGGAATGAGCGCCTTCAACACAGGCACACACGCAAAGACTGACAAACATACAGAGACATTCACGTATACACACACACACAAACACGCACACACACACACACACACACACAACGCACACACTCTCACACACACACACATAAGAATTGAGTGCTAGTTTAATGGGCTCAGCTCAGCGTCTTTCCATCCAAACCCATGATCTTCAGGTCGAAGGCATCCTGTCAGAAGACCGAATCACGAGCTCAACATTCAACAACAATGGTTATGGGTTTTGGTAAAGGGCTCATGTGGCGCTTTTTTGAGACCCAAAAATGCAGGGCCTTAGGTCCAATACTTGCAAATTCAGAGCCAGACATGGCGGAGGCCAAGAACAAAGCAAGCATGGAAAACAACTTGCAACACCTTTAAGAAAGCATCAACAAGCCCCGGTTCCAGACTCCATGAGAACGTCTATATTGTTTTCTTGGGTGCGGGTGGAGGATGGGGGTGGTAAGATGGACGGGCGCTCTCCTGAAGAGCAGAAGTCATACTGTAAACCTTAAGCGCTAAGCCCATACTCTCAGCTTTTTAGAATGGCTCATGCAGACCAGCTGGAAGTTGTGCCCCTGTACTAAGGCTCGGGTCTGTTTGTTGGGTTAGTTGGGTCACCTGTTTTCGATAGGCCCACAAAGTGTCTCGGAGACTGCCGCACTTCGGCACTCGGGACTGAACTGGTAAGTATCATGAAGAACATGCCAGCTTAAACCCGGGGCCCCAAAGCTCAAAACCACCCCCCCGCTCTCTCTCAGACGTGGGGTTCGAAACCCCAGATCAACCCTATAAACCTTTAGAGCCCTTCGTTATCAAAGCTTATAGGTTTTTGTGAAAACCGGCGAACGCCGCCTCCTTGAAATCGCACGTGAGGCTCTCTGCAGGAAGCTCCTCCACTCCTTTCAGCCTGCGGTTTTTGGGATTGCGGAACTATGACTCTTGGGTTCTCGGGGTCGGGTCTTCGAACTTTTGTTTTTGGAACCCCCTTTTCCCTGAGCTATCCGTGTCCGGAAATCCTAGTCGGAGGAGGAAGTGTGCAGGACCTCAGGGTTTAGGCTTTCAGGCGGTACAGTTTTGAGAATTTCGGGGCTAAGGTTCTGGTAAAAATGCACTAGAAGGGGGAACTGGAAGGGTTCCTCCAAGCGAACAACTCGGAATCGCTGCTGTGTTGCCGGATAGAGCATATAGTATACGGCGCAGGCTGTAAAGTTTCAGATCCGCTATACAGGGTTCGGAGTACAGACTTCACGTCAGGGTAGGATATAAGGCTTTCTCAAGAAGGGCTTCTGGAGCGTTCAAGCAACGGAAACCTAAAAATCTCAAGTTCAGACCTGACTCAACTCTTCTTCAACACCTGTGGTCGTTGAGATGGTTGTCTTCTTGTTGCAAAAACCAACTACCAGCTTGTTTAGGGCCGAGGGGGAGCGCCAGGCTACTGCAAACTTTCGGGGAAATGTATGGATCTCATTCCCCAATCAGGTTAAAGGCTGCAACCACCTCGATAGAAGCCCTTGCCTCAAGTCGATGCTGACATCCGGCTTGTTGTAGCCACCTAGGTCCTGGCCCAGTGGTTGTGATTTCATGCGTTCGGGGCTCCTTACCCTCACAGCTGCACCAGTAGAAGGGTCTAGGATTTACAGTTTAGGGTTCACATCGCAACATGCTGCACTGTGTGAATTAGGAACACACCGCCAGTCCAGAGCGAAGGTGGTGATCTCTGTCCACGGCCCCACTGGCCGCACATCCACGGCTGGTGCTGTGGCCTTCATGTGAGTGGAGCTCGGGGCTGCTGGAGGCCTTCTACAAACCTTTCTGCCATTGGGGGTTGCATCGATACTAGAGATGAACTGAATATGTTAAGCTCGCCCCCATGCAGCTATGCAAACCCTGCGGACCAGATACTGCCGGATACAACAACCCCAGCTACAACCGCAGTCTGCAACAAAAACCGACATCCTAAACCAGAGCTTTTCCCTTGAAGCAGCTCTTCACAAACGCAACTTCGGCGTGGAGGCTTTGAGCTCTGTGGCGTTGGTTTTGCTTTGTCTCGAAAGAAGAGTTGGTCTTGGAATGATGGTTTCGGCTTAGGAGTTCACGTGAAGAATTTTAGGGTTTTTGCCCTGGGATTTAGGGTTTAGGGTTTTAGGAATTTTAGGGTTTATGGCTTAGGGTGGAGCTTGATGTCCTGACGTATCTCGTGAAGCCTTGCTTCCGATGTTGGGAAGGGTGGCCATGTCAGCAGGAACACCAAAGCTCAACGGCAGATCTGATAACCATTCGGGCCTGCACCGTCGCTGGCGCGACCTCGCGGCAGCCAGGAGGAAGTGACAGGATTTAGGCGTCAAGGGCATCCTCGGCATGGCTATACATCCTGACTTAAGGCACTAAAGCCTAGGCCTGCAGAATTAGACCCGGGTTTCATGGCCATGGGCCCCCATACTTAAAGCAAGTGTAAAAAATATAACCTCAATATGTAAAGAAGTAAATAAAAAGACATAAATAAATATATATATATAT